AGGGCGCGGCTGCGCCCGGCCGCCCCTCCCGCATCCTGGGGGTCCGGCCCGGAGGCTGTGCTGGGGAGCTGCTGCTCAACTGGCGCAACGCGCGAGCCGCGCTTCTTAACCTCTCGGTGAGGTACTCGGTACTTCTGCAGGTAAGGTCATATTGTGAAAAGCTAGAGTAAAGCCGCAATAACAGGCGTACCTATTCAGCATCGAGCCATTCAAGACATTTGGACACCCTTACGAGGTAGATTGGGTTGGACTTAATGCTGCAGCAGCTCAGGGAATTTTGATTTCTCTGAATGCACAGGCTGGAGCCATTGAAGTTCAAAACCATTTTATTTTATATGCAAACTAAGCAGTGCTCGCAAAGCATTAAAATTGTAGATATTTTAAACATAAATCATCAAGGCATGGGATTTCTGTCTTCAGCCTTCTGCCAACTCTATTTAAAAGCCCCAGATTGTTCTTCCCTTGATCTCAATGACTGAATACTTAATTTATGTGACTGAATGTGTCTGTAATATGAATGCAGTCTCCAATATGTGCATGCTCTCTGCACCCTGATTTAGCTAGAGAAATAAGGCAGTGTAAAAAGTTATCCAGCATTGGCCATTGTGGCCATTAAGGCAAACATGAGCAGTGTCTAAATCAGACTGGCATATACCAGTACTGCTATCATGTACTGCTGCTTGTGAAGGTATTGGGAAGGAATCATGTATTCTGTCTTCTGTTCAGAAGGACACGATTATAATTAATCATCATCATTATAATTAATTATAATAATTATCATTCTTACTCAGAACTGATGTTACTCATTTTTCTGTGAAGCATATAAGTCTAGTAAGAGACTCTCATAAGTCTCATGTAAGAGTCATGTAAGTAAGAGAACAGAAGGATATGGGAAAAAGTCTATGAGCTCTACGCCTGATCTAGGTAGATCAGTTATCAAGGAAGGAGGTGGAAAGGTATTTGTTCTGCCTTTTATTTTTTAGCACAGACTCATGCCACCTAACTTCAGACACCTGGTAGAAGGCAATTGCCTCTACTAGGCAATGGACAGAGATAAGCCACTCTTGAGGGCTCACTTAAGATCTGGATAGTTGTTTTGTGATGCTTTTTTCTCTCCACTGCTGGAAAGGTAGGATATAGGTAGATGAAGCAGGCTTTTCACTTATATGGTTCAGTTACATTGCTAACTGTGATTGAGGAAGTATATTCATACAGACTTTTGTAGTCTTTCCATGGATAGAGGTATGGACTATGTGATGCAACTTCATTCATAGTCGTGAAAGTAAAGTAGTGAAAAGACTACTCAGAAAAGCCTCGGTTAGCTTTTTACGGGTGCTGTTCCTTGTTGTTTAATACTAGATCTGTGTACTACCAGAACACCTGACCGTACAGTTTTGATCTGGATTGGGCATGAGCACACAGCTGTAGGTCTCCAGGGCAGAACAAAACAATGCCAATGCTGAACTTATGCTAGCTATATGCTGGCTGAACCAATGGTATTTTACCCAATATAGATAAAGTAAAAATGGTGTGAAGAGATGATATCAGACCTATAATAAAGTTTGCAAAGAAGTTATTTCCATTTTAAACCAATCTGAAATGACAATGTAAGTTTGTATTAAGTACTTTATGCTTTGTCACCTGCTATTAGATGCTCCAGTACTAGGTTTAATATATCACAATATAGCATGTATTAAGATGCCATGGTCTATTTAGTCATGGCTTATGTTCCTTCTGTGTGTCAAAAGTGAAGACTATTTTAAAATGCAGGTTAAAAAAGCTAGAATTGTGAAGGAAAGCTGCTGTTAAATCCTGAAAGTGACTTGTTAAAATAAAAAAATCTGTTAGCTGTAGTGCATTTAAATATAGTATCTATATATGATGTCAACATGTATCTATTACTTAATGTTCAGTTAACAAGCAATGACTGAGGCTGCTTGTATGTTAAAGATTTTTTTCTTCCACACTCCTGTTTTCTGCATATTAAGCTTCTGAAGCAGGCCCCATCTATAAAAGATGCCTTGGCAGAGAGAGGAAACAGGGACTCAACCAGTGATCCTTTGGGTGCCTTTCTTTGGTCCCATTTGAGGCATTGTGTTACAACTGCAAATTAGTTAATTGCAAACACAATCTTTACAAAGCCTCCTGAAATTTACACTTAGAATAGAATTGCCCTAATAGGCAGGCATGACCGTCAGAGTCATCGAAAATTGCTGAGTTTTGGAGATTGAGTATTTCAGAGTGAGTTTTGCCCTGGTCCTGTTGAAATAAAGATAAAAGCTTGCACACTTTCTTAAAGTTAATTAGCTCAATATTCTGGCAAGTCCACAACATGCAATGGAATGTGATGCAGAGATTTGCAAGCCAACACTTGGCCAAGCTCATATCTGCACAGCAGCACTGTACAGGTAAGTTCCATCACCTTGTTGCCATGTCAGTGCCTGAGCCAAAAAAGTCGACCCTCTCAGCCAGGCTTTGTAGCCTCCAAGTAGCCTTACACTGCTGTGCTTGGTACTGGGACTGGCATAGTTGGCATAGTGCTCCTTCTTTTTGGAAAGGCATACTCTCATCCTGCCTCAAGCAGCGCTGCAATGTCCTAAGTGTCTGACTTTCCTAGATGTACGGTGTGAGATAATCGAAATAATGAACGAGAAATTATCAAGACAGATAATGTACTAAAGGTTGGAGGCTAATTGTTAAAAAACCCTACCTTTCATTATGAAAACCACACTCTATGTCCACAAGGCTTTTCTTTTTCCTACTCCCTCAAATTTCATCTACTGAAATGCTAGTGTGCCATCAAGAAAAGGTAACTATGGAGGGAAATTGTAGCCTTAGCTTTGATTCTTTTCCTGTACCCCTTACCTTTGTTAATGTAATGGGTCCTCATTCATCCACTTTTTAAAGTAAACAGAATTGTGGTTGTAATCCAGTTGCATAAATTAGTACTATTTAGTGTAATAGCAAGGTACTTTTTGGAAAACTTGAACAGGCCAGTGGAGCAAGGAGAGGAATACAAAAAATAACATATATTAGGTGCAACCAGTATATGTTCTCATGTTTTTTGATTTTGCAAAAACATAATTACCACTTTCCTTGCGATAGCATGGAGTTCAAGGCAGAAGCAAGGTTAATCATAGAGTGCTATAAGGTTTGTAACTTGGCATCTTAAAACTTTTCAGGGCTGTGCAAAACAAGCAGGATTTTCTTTCATTCTGTAACTCTAGGTAAGCAAATGCAGACCGTTAAAAAGTCTGTCAGAAAATGAAGGCCAGCATTTTGATATGTCTTATTTGGTAGGGAAATGTTACATGCTTACTTTTCTGTGATGCTTGTTGTGCCGCATTCTGTCACAAGCTACTTGTGCTGAGGCTCTGCCAAGATGGCATTAGTAGCTAAAGAGCAAATGAGCTAATAAAGACATCAGTGATACTAGTGTTTCATTTGAAGAAGTTTCTCATTTTTACAGGAGAATTTAAGGTGGTGTTTTATTTTCATAGGAATGAAATTGGACCATTGACCCCCTAGTTCTGGGGCCTACAATAAAACTGGAATACAATAAAACTGACAAATGAAAAGTCTTGCGTAATATATATGCACATATTAAAGCCTTATGTTGCAAAAACAGACCATCTACCATTCTTTAAAGAGAAATTCAGTATGGAAATTGATTACTTTTTATTATTATGGCAAAGATGTTTCTGGTAGCCCACAAATATTTATGTCTGCTTTGCAAATAGAGGAAATGGCAACAAAGACAAAGGAAGCTGACAAAACTGAAGACCTGTAATTGTTAACTCTTTCTCCTGCTCTCTTCAGGGTATTCTAGAGCGTTTAGACGCTGGAGAAATTGTGATTGGAGATGGAGGATTTGTCTTTGCTCTTGAAAAAAGGGGATATGTAAAAGCTGGGCCTTGGACTCCTGAAGCAACGGTAGAACACCCAGAAGCAGGTCAGTTTTACTGGGAAATGGTAATCCTGTAGTGAATGTAAACATGGTTGGATAAATAATAAATGTGTAGGAATTTGTAGTAGGTTTGTGTTCCTTGACATTGTAGAATTACACTGCTAAGAATAGCCAAAGAATCTATAGACCAAATGCTCATCTTATCCCTTTTTCTTGCTCTTAACACTGTCCGAAAGCAGTTGACTGAGTAAGAATATGAGTAGCGCAAACATAGTGATACCTCTCCAGATTGCTCTCCCAGTCTTTTCTCTGTCATGGATTTGTCTAGTCTGTCCTTGAGCTATTATAAAGCTTATCACTTGAAACATCTTGTGAAAAAGAATTCTGCAATTAACTATCTGTCTCTTTTGCCATGTTCTAGTCATTCTAGGACTTCTTTTATATTGTTATAAATTAATATAGTTTGTTTATTAATCCTTGCAGGAAAATAGCAGCTCTTAATAAACAATGGAATGGAAGAGGAATATTTAATGTATCTGGCTTCACTGTGAAATAGGGGAAGATAAACATCATAAGAACTTAAGAACTGCAATAAACATTTAATGGAGTAACGCTCCTAAAGTGAAGGGAGACAAAATGAGCAATCATTCTATGCCTTCCAGCATAAAGATTATAGTGTTTAACATAAATAGTGCAAAAGCAGATGCTATTATCTATCCATGTATGCTTCATTACAAGAAAGCATTTGCCCTAGTAATATGATGTGTAGTTAATGCCACAAGCCAATTTAGAATATCCTGGGGAAAAAAGATTTCTTTGTTCTGTTTTAAGTGTTTGCCCTTCCAAATTAGTCTTTTTCCTCTATACATGGGGAAGAAGGAAGATGAAGGGAAGAAGGAGAGAGGTCTTAGCCCTCTCTGTTACATTACTTTGTACACCTTACCTGTTTATTTACCCTAATCCTTCTCAGACTTCAAGTGTCACTTGATGTGTAGCATGCCTAACTTAGGATCACGGACAGCCTTAGATAATGCAGAACTCCAGCAAAGGTTTAAAGGATGATGACCTAGTTTGCTGACTCTGATCTCCCCAAAAGACATCCCATCACCTCTCTCCCTGTTTCTCTCCACCTCTACCCTTGTCGGCCCCTACACATTCAGTCTTACAAATCATAGCACTTATCCCATCCTCTTTATTTCCCCTGTGCTTACTTTGCAACTCAAAATCCTTGACCCTCTCCACATGTCCTTTTAGGAAGTGCAGGTCTCAGTCCATGAGTAATGCAAGACATTACCTTACATAGAGGCAGTTGCTGATGGCTTAAATTGGCACACAGATTTGCTTTAAGTGATCAGTAGTCATAAGTTAGAATCCAGCCTTCTGAGAATTGCTACTGATTTGCTAGAACATATTGCTCATGTCTGTAACAGTTATAAAATTTTCATAAGTCCCTTATAGGCTATTTATAAATACACCCTTCACTGGAAATGTGCTCATTTCTTTTAGCGCAGTGTGCTGCCTCCCTCCAGTACTGCTTTTTGCTCCTGCATGCTCAAGGGTCATGTTACTTTAAAAGCAGGTGTAAAGAACAGAAGGCGCAACTGGCTGAGCCAGCTGCTGTAAAACCCATACAACTACCAGACCTTCTTGTCTGTGTAAGGAAAGAGAGAAGAAGGGAGGTTCTGAGAATGCAGCAAGGAATGGAAAAAAAAAAAGAGTGAGTTCAAGGCCACTATCTCCATTACAAGAGAGGAGAAGTTTTGCCAGACTGACAAATTTAGAAATGAGATCTATATTTCTTCTGAGCCAGGTCTGGTATTGTCTGTAGCGAGCAATATGCATAGGCACTTATTGCCCCCATCTCCTGTTAGCTTAAGTCTGTGTCTTTTGTGAAACGTCCAACTCAAGGTGGACTGAAATGAAAACTCAGTGTCACACATCTGACTCCTAAAATGCGTCAAATTGTAAATAATTGTTTAGTCTCATATGTGGTTGTTATCCTCATTTCTCAAATGGTGGAGGAAAACACAGCTTCAGTAACATGCTGGAAGTTACACAAGAAGTAAATTAGAGTGGTTTGGGTATTTGATAGTGCAGATTGCTGTGGGCTTGATAATAGTAACAGTATATTCCGCTGGCAAAAACGATTTGCCTGGGATTGAATGAGAGTCAGGCTGATACTTATAACACTATTCTTTCCCTCAAAATGTAGACCCATTCAAGAGTCTCCTGTTCACATACCTGACAGTTTGGGATATGAAGTTCCTTATTCATATGTGTTAGATTATGTTTCATTTGCCTACCTATGTGACGATCCTTATTCACACAAATCCCAAGTGTTCTTCTAGGAATGCAAGAACCATATTTAAAGAGCACTAACCATGGGGATAAACAAATCTTGTTTATTATGGAAATGTCATAGAGCATTTGTGAAAATACTGGTAGATTCTTTTTTCCTTTTCCCATTTCTTGACGAGTTTTCATTAATGATTTCTCATGGGGGAGAGTAGAGAAACAAGCTACAGGACACTAGAAACATACAGACAGCCCTTTTTGTTGGGATCAGTAGCCTATGTTAAAGCTGTAGGAAGAAGAATACTCCCTGCACTAGGAATCTTTGGACTCTGCATAAAGGTTTTAAGACTGAAATTTTATGCTGGCAATTCAGGCAGATTCCAGGGACTTTTTGAACTGTAGCTCTGATACAATCTGTGTTCTTGGACAGGTCTTTGACTGCTGGGAAAAGCAGCGTTGTGTTAAATCACACTGTGGTTACCCAAGGTTGTAATTAGAAATTAAATACTGCACTAGTAGAGAAAAGGGCCACTACACTGTTACCTTCACTGAAAGCAGACATGCTTGCATGTATACAGATTGACTCTAGTTAACTCAAACTGCTGTTTGAGCTTCTCTGACATAGAAGGCTGTGTTTGTTGCCACTGAAGGGAGTAATTGTATTCTCATAACACATTCACATGTTTCCCTAATGAAACAGATTGTCTCTATATGACGAGGTATGATAAACCAGGGCTTCAGGAAAACTTTTCCACATATCTGCCACAAACTGCAATGTTCTTGTGTTTGTGTACAGAGAATTTATCTAGAGAATAAATTATTCCTGTATTTGGTATAAGCTGTTGAGCTTTTTAATTCTGTCTTACATGATCAGTAGTGTTCTAGAAATTATTATAATTGTTGTTCTGTGGGTATACATATAAAATCAATTGACAGCTCCTGTTCTGTTCCCACTGTGGTGACTGCAGTATGCTGCTTACAGTGATGTAAGCAGCAAAATAGAGCTTTGGTTTTGGCTGACTAGACTCAGCTGGAGGTTTCGGGGCAGACTAAAAAATACAAAATAGAGGAGGTAATGGAACACTGTGTTCTTCCATATAAATATCATCTTGTCCCTAAATTTGTTGCCATGGTACTTTCTTCTGTTTTCTTCTTCATACCCTAGAAGCTAAGAAAATAAGGGTTTTTCATTTGATGTCTGGTATTTTTGTTAATGTTAACTTTTTGTTTGGTATTCTGTGTTACACTTTCCCGTTCTTTTGTCAGATGTCTGCTTCCTTTCCTAAACCACTATGCAGTTCTATAAAGTGATACTGGGAGGTCTGAAGGACTGCAGAAAGTAGAAGATAGGCAAGGTGGCATGCAAAACTGAATCTACTGATAAACTAAATAGAGATCTTCAGTCATTCTTAGCAGAGAATAATTAAGGAGAAAGTTTTCTACCTAATGTTCTGAGAGTGAGAAGAAAGGAATTGTACACACACTGGGGTACTGCTTCTACTCTCTCATAATGGCTCGCCAAGTAAACACTGTATCAATTATTTTACAGTAGCATTACTTCAATAAACATTTAATTTTGGGATAACAACGGTAACAACTGTACCAAATGTCTCTCTTAATACTTTGCAGTTCGTCAGCTTCACCGGGAATTCCTTAGAGCTGGATCCAATGTTCTGCAGACATTCACCTTCTATGCCAGTGAAGACAAACTAGAGAACAGGGGCAATTATGTAGCTGAGAAAATAAGTGTGAGTAAAACTCTGTTTTGATGGAGATATGAAATAAATGGATTAATTTCAAAAGGTTTATTAGAGAGATTATTGAGTATATTCAGTTTGTCATAAGAGTTTTGGCTATATTTGAGGACCAGAGAAGGAGATGATGCAATTTCAGAGTTTGGAATAGCAAGAAAGACAAGGTTGAAGGACAAAAAAACCCAAAATGGGGCAAGGATGAAGAGAGGAAAGAGGCTGCCTACATCGTATTTTTCCCATCTGAGGAGATTAGTTTAGTGGAGTTTGATACCAAGAGTGTAGGGAGGACTAAATCCACAGAGAGCAAAATCAGTTGAAAAAAAAAAACCACTTTAACATCCAGAGAAACAAATCAACTGCAAAAATGGTGACGATTCCTAGAGAATGAGTGGCTAATGAGAACAGAATGTTTTTTAGAACCACGTCTTCAATAACGTAACAACAAAAAGGTATACACTGTGGTCAACACTCCCTTCTCCTGTGTAAGGGTAATCTGTTACAGCAACAGAAGTACCATCTTGATGTTTTCTTACCTCCTACACAAAGGAGTTGTAGGATGTTGTGTGTGTTCACTAGATGCAGGCCTCAGATCCACTGGGACTTCTGGCACAAATATTTCTAGATAGTTCCTTTGAGACTGGAAGGTTTGCCATTGAGTGTTTTCTCTGATCCTTTCCTTTGTTTAGTCCTTTTGTCTATTTCAACCTCTGCAAAACAGAGAAGATTCTCCAGGGGGCAGGGAGGAAGGAATATCTTTGAAGGTATCCCCAGTCAGAAATTAGAACAATCTGGACAATAGGGAAACACTGGAGGCTTAATTAAGAGGTCATACCAAAACATCATATGACCAAATTTGTCTGAAAGTATGTACTTTTACATTCAATAGATGCAACATTTAAGTGTCTGAAGTGGTAGTCCCAGAAACACAGTGCCTCTGGAACAAGCCATGCTGCAACTCTTACTGCCATGCAAACTGATAGGAAGGGCTGGGAGAGCACCTAATATTGGGAATGCATTGCAGGAAAGCTTTCAAGGTTGATTTGCTTCCAGTTTTAGAAGCAGGTTCATCCAGGCTTTAACTCGTTTATGGCTCCACCTCCCAGAGTTCCCAAACATGTACCTGGGCATAAGTGCAAACGGAAGACAATCTGTTAGCCTTAAAAATCAGCTGGGTCTTTTGTGGCAGCCATGGAAAAATTCAGCTGAGAGAAACCTGTGTAGATTCTAAGTAGTCCATGGGCTGCAGAGAAACCTGCTCTAATCGGTACTTGTTTTCTATCCTAAATAATGATTCATTTCCCAAAAGTGTTTTTTCCCAGCTTAACGTCTTTTTCACAAAGCTGTTCTAGTCGTCTTGATTTAGGTATAGAGAGAACGTGTTTTTAAGCCTAGGTGATTAATTAATCACATATAGTGATAAGTTTCCCTCTACTATTCTTAAATTGATAACTTTAACATCAGATAATTAATGATATCTTTTCAAAAACGCCTTACATAACTCCTTATGAGTATTAAATCTTAACTTCTGAAAATTATCAAAATACTAAAATACATTTTTAAAAAGAATGAAAGATCAATTGAAATTACTACATATTTTGTCTCCCACAAAATGTCAGAATAAAAACATAAAAGTAACTAACTCATTTTCTAAGAGGCAAAGAAAATTCCACTTCACGTGAAATATTTGCTTTTTATAGACTATTTTTGTAAGTTGTATTAAAGGTAATTTTTTTTTTAGTGTTTGATAATATGATAAGTTAAGAGGTGGCAAGACATTTGTTTCCTTATGTTTGGGGTTTTTTTTAACGATGCTGATCTTCCTAATCAATATTATTTTAAAATCCATTTAAATTCTTAAAAATATAAAGAAGATGTTATGGCTTTTGGCTCTTTTTGTCCTTTTTTGTGCTCTGAAATTACATGCATATCTGACCAGGTAAAACTGACATAATCTATATTCATACAGTGCCAGAAAGTGAATGAAGCTGCTTGTGACATTGCAAGAGAAGTGGCTAATGAAGGTGACGCTTTAGTGGCTGGAGGAGTCAGTCAAACACCATCATACTTAAGCTGCAAGGATAAAACAGAGGTTAAAGCAGCCTTTCGAAAGCAACTAGATGTCTTTATGAAGAAGAATGTGGACTTCCTAATTGCAGAGGTAAATCTGTAAAAAAAGTACTTGCCTTCAACTGGCACAGTGTTAACTTCAAGACGTCTACTTTAGGGAGTACAAGTGTATATTGCTTCCTCCTTTAACATTTTCTGCGATGCTTTTATTCCAGTAATGTAAGGTGTTTTTCTAAGTGCACAGCAGCATCTGCAAGCATCCTAGAATAGGACCTTGAAACCTAAATTTCTACTTCAGTCAAGTCAAATTCTGTAGTGGTACAAAGAAGAGAGATAAATGTGATCTTGACTGGTTCCTATTTCCTCCCATACACCATAGGCAATCAACATAAGGTGACCTTTCTAGATGAAAATAGTTCTTTGGGGATAAATCCCTGATTGAACCCCCTGTATGGGCATTATTATTCTGAAACAAGAGTATCATTATTTTTTATTTAGTTTCCCTACTGACTTTTTAAAATCCTTTTTTAAGTGTGTGGTCAGTGAACTCAATTGAATTCTGTTAGTGTAAATCAGAAAAGAATCAAGCCATTGTATGCTGGTCAATTTGAGGTCTGGATTAATGTGTTTATGCTTCATATCGAAGGAACAAAAGTAGTCCAGTTTTAATTTCTTTCAGTATTTTGAACATGTTGAAGAGGCTGTCTGGGCAGTTGAAGTTCTAAAAGAATCTGGAAAGCCAGTTGCAGCTACAATGTGCATTGGTCCAGAAGGAGACATGCATGGTGTGCCCCCTGGACAATGTGCTGTCCAACTGGTAAAGGCTGGTAAGAATCTGTTTTTCGTATGTGCTTTAAAAGTATGGAACTAAGTCAAGTCATTAAGCATTGAGATAAATGGATTTGTATCTCAAGTAGGTAGCTTCCCAATTATATCTGATAAAATTTTTGACCCTGTAGAGAAATTTTTATGTATACTTTACTAGAGCAGTCTTGTAAAAGACATATGAAAATACAGCTATGAAATCCTTGTTAACCAGGATGGTACTGGGAGCAATAGCCACAGGCAGCTGATACTCAATGGAGCAAAATCCTAAACCTACTCAAATGTGGTTAGAGTCAACTCCAAATTCTGGGCTTACAATTATGAAACACAAGCAGTATCCAAAGCCACTTTTGATTCATTGATCATGTTTTTAGAAATGTATAGAGCACAGTTCAGATCCAGGATGAGAGAATAAGAGGATGAAAAAATTAATCTTTTTGCTTATCGAAGGCTGTGTTTTCTGCAGGACAAGGGGAGTGGCAGAAGCAATTAATCGGGGGCATGATGATTGATGGCACAGGGTTTTATTATATCTGCTCTGAACTGCTCTTTTCCTTTGGAGTTAGAGTTGAAATCCAAAGGCAGAACCTGTGTTATGCAAATAGCTAGCAGGTTCCTATATGGCTGTACGTAATCAGTCTTCACTGATTAAGCACTGATAAGAAAAGCAACTGTATGAGGCTGGGAGATGTGATTCATCTCAGGGAGGTAAAGAGGAGTGCAACTGAGATGTAAATGGAATGATCAACCTCAGGAGAATTGAGGCAGGCTCTACCCCAACTGTCTTTTTTTCATAATGCTGATGTAAAGATGGACTGCTCTGCTTGTGGAGTGCTGTGGCTAAGAACTTTGACCTCCCACTTCCTGGGGAGATGTGACTTGAAGTTATTTTCCTCCTCCTAGGTGCTTCTATTGTTGGAGTCAACTGCCATTTTGATCCAGATACATCCCTGGAAACTGTGAGACTGATGAAAGAAGGCTTACAGGCTGCTAAACTGAAAGCCCACCTGATGTCCCAACCACTTGCCTTCCATACACCTGATTGTGGAAAGCAGGGTTTTATTGATCTTCCAGAGTTTCCCTTTGGTAAGAAAAAGGGTACCTTTTTTTCTCTTTTTTTTTAATGGTCTGTTCCATTTTTCCCCCAGTTTATAGTAAAGCTGAAGCTGCAAGGTGTCCTTCTATACAATAGGATCACTCCCAATTATCCTGTCTGGCATTTTCCACAGAGGGACTGCAGTGTAATATTGCATTAAAGATCATCCACATAGTGAGAATATTTCAGTAGTATCATATCGTGTGACTGAAAGAGAAATTATGATGGAAACAGTTAAATTGCCACAACCGAAACTCAGTTAGAAAATGCGGTTCTTCCTCATGCTATAGAGCCTTGTTCAGGACAGCTGTAAACAGTCCGAAGAAATGAACAATGCATACACACTGAAAACACCCCCAGGCTTAAATGCTTTTGCACTGGACCTCCCCAGCATTCTGGGTTGTGACACCTGTCCCACAAGCCCTATAGTGTTTACCTTTGTAGGGATTTAATGTACAGTGCACATGTGGAACTGGATATAGATGCATGATTATTGCACTTGGAACGGTTCGGTCTTGCAAGTGTAACTGTCTAATATAAGTGAAGATTAGAGAGAAACAAGATGAGGGAATATGTTCTTCAATGTTGCTAACAAATGGATTAGCAGTTTGGAGATGGATTCATCACATGTATGCTCAGGAGAAATTCTACAAAGGCTGAAAGATTCATCCACTTTATGTATATATAAGGCTTGTGTATTTAGGGCTTATTTCCACCAGGGATGTAGAAGATCACATCCCTTTAATATAAGAGGACAACTATCAGCCTAAACATTTAAAATTGATTAGAAAAATGCTTTCATTTTCGGGTATCATAAACTCTTCTTTTCAAGATCAGACTATAAAATAAGGTATTAAAACATTCAAAACTTGAATTTGTAGCAAAAAATTTGAGAGATAGATGTGATTTTCAGGAAGAATCTTTTTTAATTCTTCTCTTTACATAAATGAAGCAAAGAGGATAAAGCATGAACTTGAGGCATTCATTAAGTGATAATAACATGTTTTGAAAATATTCTGGGATGTTTAAAAGTGTTAGGAACTCACCCTATTAATTCCTTCATATAACTCCTCTGATTGCAAGCAAAAAAAGCTAGAACAGATCCAGTAAGTAATCAAGTGAATTGAAAAATTCACTCTTTGGTTTGTTATGGTTCTTGGCTTGTATGTTATAAGCAATCTGTATGAGAGCTCAGCTTTCAGAAATTTCTTGAGTCCCGTTGGAGAAGGCTCGTTCTGTGAATGTTTTCAATACCCAGAAGGAGCAGCTCATCACCTGATGGCAGATAAGCAGTTTGGTAAATCATTGTTAAGTTGACCCAGTTAACTCTGGGAATATGCACAAAGAGGTATTGAGATATTTGAAGTGTGCATAACCTCTGTACAGGCCAGCAAGATCTCAGTTTCTAGAAAAGCGTTGGCTATGTTGTATTGGCAAACTCCAGGATCTAGATGCCAGCAGCATTTATTTATCTGTAGAACTTTTTCCAGTTTTCTGTGTTTTCCCTTCTGTGTTACTGCAATTGTTCTGAAATGTCGCCAGTTAATCAAGGGCAATGTTTTAGAAAGAAATGTCCTGGTCAGTCAGTTATCTCAAGAGTAGATATACAGAGGGGCTAAAGCTAGGAATAAGTTACAATCTTCTTATCAAAAATTGATTAAAATTTCAATCTCTTTTTACTATAAATGTTAACATAAACTGTTAAGCTATAGATACTTAATTCTGAATAAAGCCAAGAAAAGAAATGCATTGACAGGCATGGAAAATAGAACGTGAGTCAATTTGGGGAAGGGGAAAATCCCACAAAATGTGATCCATGTGGCAACTCCTTTTCATAAAGTACTGCTTGTTTTCAGTCACTATGTTTCACCACATGTGTGGCCCATTCTTACAGCAGGATCAATCCCTGTTTCTTCAGAAAGTTTAGGTTGTTGCTGTCCTTACGCTCCTGAAGCGCAAGGACTGATTAACAGAATCATAGAATGGTTTGGGTTAGAAAGGACCTTAAAGATCATCTAGTCCAATTCCACTGCCATGGGCAGGGACACCTGGTCACTAGGTCAGGTTGCTCAAAGCCTCATCCAACCTGGCCTTGGAAGACTTCCAGGGTGGGGTAATACACAACTTCCCTGGGCAACCTGTTCCAGTCACCCCCACATTAAAGAATTTCTTTCTAATATTTACTCTAAATCTACCCTCTTTCACTTTAAAATGCTTAGCCCTCATCCTATCACTACAGTTGCTGTCAGAGTCCCTCCTCACCTTTCCTGTAGGCTACTTTGAAGTACTGGAAGGCTGCTCTAAAGTCTCTCCAGAGCCTTCTCTCCTCCAGGATGAAAAATCCCAACTCTCAACCTTTCTTCACAGGAGAGGTGTTCCATCCCTCTCATCATCTTCAAGGTCCTCCTCTGGACCTGCTCCAACAAGTCCATGTCTTTCTTATGCTGAGGGCCCCAGAGCTGGACACAGTACTCCTGCTGGGGTTTTGTGAAAGCCAGGTAGAGGGGGCGAATCACCTCCCTTGATCTGCTGGCCACGCTGCTTTTGATGTAGCCCAGGATACAGCTGGCTGCCTGGGCTGTGAGCACACATTGATGGCTCATATTCGGTTTTTTATCAGCCAATACCCCTGAGTCCTTCTCTGCAGCATTGCTCTCAATCCACTCATCACCCAGCCTGTATCCATGTTTGGGATTGCCCCAACCCAGGTGTCCTTACACTTGCCCTCGTTGAACTTCATGCAGTTTGCACGGACCCACCTCTCTAGCCCAACAAGATCCCTCTGGGTGGTATCCCTTCCCTCTAGAGTATCAACCACAACACTCAGCTTGGTGTCATCTGCAAACTTGCTGAGGGTGTGCTCAATCCCACTGCCCATGTCCCTGACAAAGATAAATAATGCTGGTCCCAGTAAAGAGCCCTTAGGGACACCACTCATCACCAGTCTCCACCTGGACTTCAAGCTGTTGACTGCAACTCTTTTAGTGCTTGTATCCAGATAATTCCTTATCCACCGAGTGGTCCACCTGTCAAATTCAGGTCTCTCCATTTTAGAGACAAGGATGTTTTGCAGGACAGTGTCAAATGCTTTGCACAAGTCTAGGTAGATGACATCAGTTGCTCTCTCATCCACCAGTGTTGTAACCCCATCATAGGAGACAACCAAATTTGTTCAGGCATGATTTGCCCTTAGTGAAGCCATGTTGGCTGTCACCAATCACCTCTCTGTTTTCCATGTGCCTTAGCATAGTTTCCAGGAGTTTCTGCTCCATGATCTTGCTAGGTACAGAGGTGAGACTGACGGGCCTGTAATTCTCTAGATCTTCCTTTTTCCTCTTCTTAAAAATAGGGGTTGTATTTCCCCTTTTCCAGTCACTGGGAACTTCACTAGTGTGCCACGACTTTTCAAATATGATAGACAGCGGCTTAGCAACTTCATCTGCCAGTTTCCTCAGGACCCTCAGGTGCATCTCATCAGGTTCCATGGATTGTGAGACAGTGGGTGATGGAGAAGACAGGGATACACTCTATACTGTTCCCCTGGAGTTTGGTTGCTTATGCAGGTATAAATTGATTGCAAGATGCTACGTTGTTACAGCTGATCAGTTTGTATCGATTTTTCATTAGCTTTTTAACGATATATGAGACAAGGAAATAATGAATTTGTGCTTCTGATTCTTTCTCTCACATCTGCAGGAGTGTACACAAGCTTACTTTTATTTTAACAGCTTTCTAAGATAGTTTCATCTGGTTTTCCTTCTGATATTACACCATCTACTTTTCCCTTTGTCCAGTCTTTCCCACTGAGACCAATAATCTTCTGTTTAAGAACATTTCATTTTTTTCCTTCTGCTTTTTATTTTCTGAACTTGTCTCTTACCTTAGATTTAGAGTAGATCTGCTTTGTGTCATCTGCTTGCATGTTAGGCATTGGGACATAGGGAGAAGAAGCCTACCTCTCTGCTGTGTTGCTGGAGCCTTGCTACCTCACCACAGCTTCTTTGCCCAGCAGGATGTTGAGAGCACAGACATCATGCTGCACTCACCTGATAACCATGCCGGTTCATCTCCTGCAGATGTGCATAAAGAAGTGGGAGGATTTTTAGTCTTTTATTACTGCATTTTTATGCCTTAAGGCTTCTTCTTCAGTTCCTGGTCTTTTTCTTTCCAGTTCTGCCACTCTTGTGCCTCCTTCCCTTTGAGATGTGCTTTTCCTTGTTCTTTTTACTTTCTATTCCTTTCGTTCCACAAGTCCTTCTTCTCAGCTCTGTTATCCCTTCACTCTGCTACTTCACAAACTTCAACAGGGAGAAAGGTTCAAAATAAAGGTTGCATCCTAACTTACCTACACAGATCTTTTTGCAAGGAATCAAGTGGTTTGAGGCAGAAAGCTGCTTATGGGTGGGATTATAACTAAGGACTGGGCTAAGAAATAGCTACAGATTCCAGCTGTCAGTGAAACAACTAGCTGCCACTAGCTAATCATGGAAAAAAGAGTAGTAAGCATTCCTGAGGAATAATGTGCAGGCTTATTCCCATTGCAGGTAGGCTGGGGCCTTCTCCTTTCACAGATTAATCAGATTTCCCAGATATTGATTGTTTATTGGGAACTTTTTGGAAATGCAGACATAACATTGGAAGTACTCCAATATTCCAACTAAGAACTCTGGCAGAACGGCAAGCAAGTGACGTAGTGCTTGACCAGTCTCAGAAGATACTAGGTACTGTTTTGTGAGGCCAAAGAAGCTTACAACAAGCATAGCTCAGCAAAGCATAGCAGAATCTAAAAGCTAGACTTCGGAAAGTGTGCATCACTAACTGTAGCTCAGACAGTTCAAACATGTACATCTACAACCAGTTTTGCAAACAATGTGCAAGTGTCTTAACATGATTTCTTACCGAAAAATGTGCTGAAATGGAGCATGGTGGAAACTTAAGTTATGAATGTCTTTGCAGGTCTGGAGCCAAGAATTGTGACCAGATGGGATATTCAAAAATATGCAAGAAAGGCCTATGACTTAGGAATTCGTTTCATTGGAGGTTGCTGTGGATTTGAGCCATATCATATCCGAGCAATAGCTGAGGAACTGGGTCCTGAAAGAGGATTTTTGCCAGAAGCTGCTGAGAAACATGGTAGCTGGGGCGATGGCCTCAGCATGCATACCAAACCCTGGGTCAGAGCAAGGTATGTATACCTGAACTGGAAATCACACCAACATACTCCTTGCAAAGGGTTATATTGCTCCATGCAGCAGACTGGTTTAACTGCTATGGAGGTCTAAATATCACTGTAAACATTCCATGTGTTAATAATTTTGAAGAATTAAATCTAATCTGGGAGCAGGGAAAGGTGTGAAGGGGCAGTAGGAGAGCTCCAGAAATTCTCATCCCTCTTTAAAATGAAGATTTGGTCTAAATTAATGTGGAAGTAATTCATGAAAGTTAAGACTGAAAACTGACAGACTGCTGTAGAACAGCTCCTAATGGTGAGTGGCTTACAGTGTTCCTTTCAAGGATGAAAAGATACTTTTAAAGCATGTATCATTTAATTGCATGCTTTCATTCATACTTCTATATTTAAATATAAAGTCAAGTGTGTGTAAGTTAGATGACCCTTTGCAATGGTGATTTAAGCCACGTTTCTTTTAGTATTGTAAGGTGCTGGAAAATCCCCTAAATTTCCTTTTCTTTCTTTAGGGCAAGAAAAGAATACTGGGAGAATCTGAAGCCTGCTTCAGGCAGGCCATATTGTCCTTCAATGTCAAAGCCAGATGGCTGGGGAGTGACCAAAGGAGCCAAGGAGCTGATGCAACAAAAAGAAGCAACAAGTGAACAACAGCTGAAGGAGCTCTTCCAGAAACAGAAGTTCTAATCCATGGCAGTTGTGTAAATGTTAGAATGGTTTATCTACAGACCACCTCATGCTTCACAAGAAAATCTGCGAAGATGAATACCCTGTTGATTTATAAATTAACATGTAATGAAAGAGACAAAATGCATAAAGAATGTGATTAGAGATGAAATATGTCAAACTTTGATAATAAAATCTTTCTCTGGGCAAATAGTTTAGAGAATACACAGTCAGAAGGAGGTTTGGATTCTCATAATAACTGAGCTTCTGTTAGCAAGGAGGCATTAACTGGGTAGACACAGAAATATGTGGAAAGTAATAATTGGCTCAGCTCACCTGTGAAAAGAGAAAAAGCCACCTATAAATATGGTATCAATGGACTTCCACTCTTGAGTCTGTTTTCAGTTTGGGATTATGTAGGAGCTTCCTCAGACCTCAGAGTTTGCTGAGGGCTACTTCAGGGACCCACAAGCTGCCAATGCTTCAGTCATGTGGTTATCTATAGTTGCTTTCTTGACTTCAGGAGAATAAAAGTAAACTGGAAAATACATCTTATAATTGGAATCAAGATAAGGAGAATGAGATCTTGCAGGAATTTCTTATATGCAGGAGAAAGGTTCAGAGAATTTTTAGGAAAGAAAAATGACAGGTAAAAACCTCATTGTTTTTGTCTCAAGATACTGTGTACACAAGATTTACTATGGAGACTAAAAGGCTTAAGAGATTATTCTGAAATTTAAAAAAAAATAAAATAAATTTAAAGTAACATGATGGAATAGTATTTTATTATTTTCACACCTTAAATCATAAAAGCTCAAGCAGAATAACATACCTTCAGTAAAAAATTAATTTTCAAATGATGCAGCTGATTTCTGGATATCTCATTCGAAACACTTGGTTATCTTCCTAAAATGTAACTCCTGTTTATAAGAGTAGTAGAACATTCCATGATTTTTTTTAAGCTGACTGATTCACTCTAGAATCTTAGCTGTAAGAAGACATGAAAAACCTAGTTAGGGAGTAGATCAATTCACCTAAGTTAAGAAAATCCATGGACATTTGTACACTGAATTTGTAGAGAAGGGTTTTCTTAGGAAGGGTATCACTACATTTGGAACACATAAAGGACACATTTCCATAGTTTATTTTTGTGAAATACCATGCAACTTAGATTTCTCTAGAATCTCATTCCCACCCATTCTACATTAAAGCTACTACCTTTATAAAATACCATTCTCAAAGTTAGCGTTGAAAGCATTTGCTGGACTACTTTTTTTTATTATTATTTTTATCCATGTTGATATTCTGCAGTTCAGGAAACATTTAAATATGTAACACTTCAATGGGAAACTTCAGGTATCCTTTTCAGACTGTTATTGGCACACAGATTTTAGAAAAATCCATCTGTCTTCACCAAGCTTATAACAGATTGAAATAGTTACTAGCTGGAAATTTTGCCTGAAAGCCAAAAGTAGACAAATCAAGAAAGTGGATATTTTTAAATATAGATTACTTGAAAAGTGTCCATGTAAGTCTACACGCACTACATTAAACTTCTTTCCTTTCCACACCCTTCTGGACGCTCCCCTTGCAGAAAGTGGAATAATGCAAAATCTGCACAACAAAAAGGCCAGCTCTTTGACCACCACCAAAATGCACACAGCATTAAAGATGTATGCATGATAAAGTGACTTAAAATACAAGCTATGATTGATAAAGAAGCGTTTGGAACAACCATTACCAATTTAGGGACTTCCTGTGGCAAAGGATGCAGCTTGACCATCATACTCTATATAAGCAGCTGGACTAATTTTTTTGAAACTGTCCAAACATGCAAAAATTTGTATTGATGTGAATGCGTTCATTTCACAACACAGAATATTGAAGAACCATGGTATTTAAGAACATGATCAGATATGATTTTAAGCACTTGTTTTTAGATACCCAGTTCAAAAAGGACTAACTTTAGCAGACACTAACAATGATGAGGCTATTTGTAGCCATTCAAAATGAGAGTTGACCCAAGGGGGAAGCTATACAATCCCTGCCTGATTCATATCACAGGCTGGGCTTAGAAAGGAATTGACGTGGGGGTCATGTGGGATGAAAACAAGTTGACAGGGTGCTTTATTGATCACTACAGACCCCAAACTATAAAAAAACCCAAAACAACCCAATACCTCCCCCCACCCCCCCAAAAAAAAACCAACCCGAGCAGCAAAGCCAACAAAGCTCTATTTCCCATTTCTTGCCGTGTAACATCTTAGTGAGGTGTAAAGGAACTGGTAGATTTGTTAAAGCTTTCTAATGGTTTATTACATGAGGAGATAAGACAGGCTGAAAGCATGATCCTAGGAAATTAATTTTGTTTAGAAAGCCTGTCTGAAAACTTGGGTAGGAATTGAAAGGGGCTTCAGAAGGTCAACTCTTGTATTTACTACCCTAAGGCAGGATCAGATATTCATAGGAGAAGACATTTGTTTAACCTTTTTGGAAACACATCTAATGAAGGACCTTCATGCGAACCCAGGCAGTCTGGCTACTTCACTCTTCTTACCAAATTTTTCCTAATTTGAATATGCCTTGATGCAATTTAAATCCATTATTTCTTTCCAACTCATTACAGACATGAAGAATTTATTTTCTTGTCTTTGCTGAAGTCTTTCACACATTTGAAGATTTACATACGTTCCTTGTTTCTCTCTCAATTGAACAGACCATGTTCATTCATTCTTTCCTTGTGGCCTCCAAGTCTGTGATTCTTCATAACTCAGAGACCTCCACCAGACCTTTTCCCAGAGCCTTCTACCTCTATGTTTGTTTTTTTTTTTACCTGAAAGCAGAATTGAAGTGATCTGAACCTTGGAAGTTCAGATCCAGAAAAGAAAACCCAAAGTCTTTGCTATCTTAAGAATAAACCTTTACTCACAAGGCTGAATGTCAGGACAAGAGGGACCTGAACAAACCATAAACTTTAGAAACAACAAGCTCTCTGTGCGGCACATGAGGAGATGGCTACATTTTTAGTCAGCTTCAAAGTTTTCCAGAACAACATGCAAAAAAATATATAAAAACCTGCTGTTTAGTGGTCAGGTGTTGGCCTGGTTTATCTGTAAACTGCAGGAAAGCAAGGAGGGTTTTCTGTAAAGAACGAAATTTTGCCGTAAGGTACACAATGACAGAAAAAACAGGTTTTTTTCCTTGTTCTTTAGAAAAGGGAGTTTTCTAGGGATCCTACCAAATCTGGAATCTCTGTGTACCACAGATTTCTTCCTGAAGCAGATTGTAGCTCATGCCTTCTTTTTCAATTCTATACACAAACATAATGGCAAGTTCGGTGACATTTTTTAACCTAAGCATTAAAAGAAGTGGATTCTTACCTCTGTCTTGTTCTACTCCGTTGACTTTGTAAAATATCAAACATAAACTAATTTAATTTCATCTTGCAATGCATTAAAATATTTTAAGTATAGACACTATTGAAATAGGATGGGTAGAATATTATCATAAAATATATTATTTCAGCATCTTTCTTTCTTATAAAAATTCGACATTACTTTTTCTTTATGTTCCACTTTATTGAGAGAGATGGTATCTGACTTAAATTTTGTATGATATTATCAACCTCCACTACATACAATTTCATGGAATTATGATACTAAATTTGGTCAACAGTGTATACCTCTGTATATACACAACTCCTGACACAGACGGCAATTGATTACATCCCAGCTTTAGGAATCTGAAGATGGACTTTCCATTTATTTTGGTCAACTTCACCTCAGAGCTTCTGTGTCCAATAAAGTTATAAATCTGAAAAGAAAAGCAAATTTGAGTAACAGGACTTGATGCAATCAGAGTGGAGCATAGTTGCTAATAAATTAATTTCAAAGCAGATTGAAGAAATGTATGTTTGGAATAGGGAGAAGCAGCATGATTCTCTCTCAGGACTAACAAAGCAACAGCAAACATGCATCTATCACAAAATGCCTTACAAGCATTACCAGTTATCAATGGGTGGTTCAAGAGTGTTTTGTAACATTCATTTGCAAACATCTGCATGTTATTGTTTCTGAGCAATCAAAGAAAGAGATCAAGTCACAGCTGAAACACGGGAGGGAAATGGTCAAAAGCAAATAAGCCCTACTTTGCAATTTACCTGTCTGCAAATCAAAAGAGTGCTAGAAAGAGACCAAACTCGTTCATCCCAGTAGGCTAGTCTTTGCCTTTTGACAGACAGGTAGCAAGTTTTATAGTAGGCATTATGCAAAATCCCTTGATCAATTTTTATTTCTAACAAAACAAAAAAAAAGTAGGGCAGTCCTACGCAAGACAAACCAAGAATAAAAAGACTGTACTATTCTTTGGGTGCTCTTCTGCCACATTTGGAAGGCAAGTCTTTTCCCGTAAGGGTTACATGCAGGAAAGTTTGCTTTTCAGTTATGTCAGCTGGAAGGTCCTGCTGGTTCTTCCTACAAACCTTTCTGTAACAAGACATATCTCAATAGTACCACAGTACTACAGTTTCATGGAAAATCAAAGATGTGCCCTATTAAAGCAAAAGTTTTTTTAAAATCTTGTTTCTCACTATATAATTTCTGCTGAGACCTTTTCTGTATGATGAAATCTTACCAACTTGTGCTTTAAATACACAGGCTTGCAGCAATATGTACAAATATTGCCTCCTGCTGACTCTTTCTATGGCTACAGGACGGGGGAAGGTGGAACCTCAAATGGCTTCTCAGGTTTGTATACACAGGCAGAAATCAGAAAAGCAATTTAATTTCAGAACAGACTTATACTTGTATTTGTTACTTAACAAGGAAGTGTTTTCTTTACAAGAAATGTCAAAGCAAATTAAGTCTCCAGTTGTGCAACATTGCAGTCTTATTTTACTGCCAGAATAAAAGGGCTGGACCGAAGTTTTTCTTTGAATATAGCCAGGTCAGCTCTTACTTTAAAAAATCATATGGCATACAATGTAGACAAACAGATTTTAAATTATAAGGCACAGGACAGTGGGGAAAGAAGTTGGAAGGTAGTTAACAAATGTAAAACTTAAAATATGTCTAAACACTACCTTCTCCTTGCCTCCAACTTTCTTCCTCCTTACCTTCTCCCCTCTAACACTACTCCAAAGTCCCAACATTATTAGAATGCAAATTTCCAAAGTTTCATTCTTAGTAGTTAAGAAATTTAACCAGACATCCT